CCCTCCCTCCCAGTGTTGTATGTCTTCTTCCTCTGCTTCCTCTACCAGAGGCCCTGGGTTCTCCAAAGTGGAGACAGCGGTCATGCATGGGTTAACTCAGCCAGTAACCAATAGAACTGAGTCTACCAAAGTGATCGGAACTGGCTGTGGTAATTGCTCTCTCCTCAACTTAACTCAAAATTGCTGAATTGGCTACTTTAATATGTTTTAATTGGCTTCTCCCCTTCGGGACAACAAAGTCGTGAATACAAGCCATGGCTTCCGCTCCTGCCCATGAGCCACAAGTCCCTCCAACTACCCTGGACACTGCTCCCACCACCGAGTCTCCTTCATCCGGGACCCATAGACGCAGACCTGCCCCGGAGGCTTCCCCCCACTGAGCCCTCTTCCAAGACTCATGGGTCTAGTCACGGGACCACGGCCAATCCACCTTCGCAGGAAGAAGGCAATGCCACTCAGGCTCCTCCCAAAAAGGCCAGGGGCAAGACCAAACACACGGAATCCCATCTGTTTCAGTCCCAGATGCCTGTTCAGCCTAGTCCTCCTCCTGACCTATCTTCTGATTCGGAGGATGATCTCTGCTTCTTTCTTTAGTCGCTCTGCCCTCTTATAGCTAAGACAACTTCAAGGGAGACTTCCGGCCAGGGATTCTAGGGCTCGCAGGGACATTAACAAATTGAAGGCATCCCTAGAATACACCGCAGATGCCTCCTTAGACGCGGCCCGTTTCACGACCAAAGCCATAGCTTTGAGCATCCTCTATCACCACTCCTCTGGCTGAAGCAGTGGCAGGTGGAGGCCCAAGCCAAATGGAGACTGGCCTCCTCTCCCTATTCTTCCTTCCTTCTCTTTGGTCCTCCCTTGGAACCTCTACTAGTAGAGTCCAAGGATAAGCGGAAAGTCCTGCAACCTGCCACTAAGAAGAAGGAGGGTCGGAATCAGTCCTTTTATCGTAGGCAGCCCTTTCATGGACAGGACAGGAGTTCCTCCAACCGCCGTCCGCAACGTCAGGCTCCTCTCAGACAGGGCCCCTCCTTCTCCAACAGATCAGACAGAGATTCCAGAGATTCCAGCCCAGAAAGTCATTCAAGGATAATACCAATCACCCCTATAAGAGGCAGAAGTGACTGCCTGGAGGATCTCCTGATCGGGAGACGTCTGGCAACCTTCGCGGATCGTTGGGATGACATCACCAACGACGCGTGGGACAAGTCCACAGATTCGGCCTTCTCTTGGACTTGCGCTCCAACCCTCTGAACCACTTCGTCATGTGCCCAATCTCTCGGGATCCTCAAAAGAGGCTCCTAGTAGAGCAGACCATCCATCATCTGCTCCACATTTGGGCCGTTCAACCTGTGTCTCCAGGCCAGGTAGGACGGAGGTTTTACTCGTGTCTCTTTATCATACCAAAGTCTTTGGGGGTGCTGGAGAGCAATCCTCGATCTCAAATTTCTAAATCGATTCATCAGGTACAGGAGATTCAAAATGCACTCTCTCCTGTCAATCCTGGAGAGTGTGCGCAAACACGATCTCCTCACATCAGTAGACCTCACGGAGGCTTACCTCCACGTGCCCATTCACAAGCAGCACAGATGGTTCCTCCGCTTTGTCTATTCAGTATCGGACCCTCCCAAGCTCCTGTCAGTCATAGCAGCCCACTTGCGAGCCAGACCCATTCGGATCATGTGCTACCTGGGCGACATTCTCCTGTTGTCAGGTCACGCAACCAGGCTCTTTGGGATCTCCAGTACACCTTACAGGTGCTTCAGGAGGTGGGATTCTCCATCAATCAGGAGAAGAGTCACCTTGTCCCCACCTCATGTCTAGTACACTTGGGAGCCTTCATCGATTCTTCTCAAGGGAAGGTTTTCCTGTTTCAGGAACGCCAGATCAGCCTCAGAGACATTGCCAATGAGGTGCGAGGGAGACAACTTGTCCCTCTTCTCCAGCCACGTTCCTTGAGCGTGGCTCCACAGCCGCTGCCTTCAGTGGTTTCTTCTGCCATTCCAGAAAACCAACAGCAGCTGTTCCCTAGTGAAAGTCAGGTTGACTCCAGAGGTAATCCAATCTGGTGGACCTCCCGAGCCATTTCTCAGGGGTCCCTCTTCAGGGAACCTCCACGTCTCGTAGTCACGACGGATACAAGCTTATTGGGATGGGCATGGGCATTCACCTGGAAGATCAAGTGGCTCAGAGTGTCTGGTCCGATTCCGACCTTTCCCACAGTATGGATTGGCTAGAGTTGAGAGCCATCCATCTGGCTCTCCTTCATTTCCATACCTCACTTCTCAATGCATGTTGATTTGGACGGATAACACAACGACCAAGATGCATATCAACCGCCAAGGGGGGGACGAGGGTGGTATCTCTCATGGAGTCTGCCTTTCGCCTAGGGATCTTTGTGGAAGCCAATCTTCTCTCTCTCTCCACGCTGAACACATCTGAGGCACTGACTATAGTCGACCCTGCGGAGTGCAGCCTGAACCGTCGCATCGTCAGACAGCTGTCGTTCAGGTACGAGACTCCGGTGCTTGATCTAGTCGCAACGGCATCCAACAGGCAGCTGCCCACGTACCTGTCTCGTTACACGGCACCAGGCACGGAAGGGACGGATGCCTTAAGGTGCAGGTGGCCTCACGATCTCCTGTATGCCTTCCCCCTGATATAGAGGGTGATTCAGAAAATGATAGAGGAAGAGGCCAAATTCATCCTAATTGCCCCCCATTGGTCGCCCCGACCCTGGTATGAGGACCTGGTCAATCTCTCAGTGGGCCCGGCATGGCGTCTTCCAATGATAATGTCCCTTCTTCATCAGGGGTCCATTCACCATCCCGACTTCTCCTGGCTTCGCCTAACTGCATGGAGGCTGACCAGGCGGTCTTGAGGACGGCTAACCTTTCTGAGACTGTAATTTGGACTATTCAGGCTTCTCACCGCCCAGCCACTAACAGGATCTATGAAGCAACGTGGCAGACCTTCATTACATGGTGCCACTCTTGAGATGCCACCCCCCTGGAGGCTTCGGTCCCCCAGGTTTTGGAGTTCTTGCAACAGGGGTTTGATAAGGGGCTCTCGCCAAATACCCTATGGCGACAAGTGTCGGCTCTCTCTTCGGTTCTCTCACTTCACCAGGATGAGCCTCTTTCCTTGCATCCTCCGCCGTTTCATTAAGGGCGCATCTAATCTCTGTCCTCCTGTCATACACAGTTTCCCCTCATGGAATCTAGCCAGGGTCCTTGACTTTCTCACTGAACCGTACTTCGAACCTCTCAGGTCCGCCTCATTGCATCATCTTACACTGAAGACAACCTTTCTGGTGGCCATTACGTCGGCGTGGTGGGTCTGGCGGCCCTTTCCATCCGATCTGACCTGTGTGTATTTCATCCGGACTCTGTGGTCCTTTGTCTTGATCCCACCTTTGTTCCAAAGGTAAATTCGGTCTTTCATCGATCTCTGGATCCCACTCTTCCAAATTTCTGTCCTAATCCTTCTCACAGACTTCAACGCAAATGGCACAGGATAGACGCGCGACATGCTCTTAAGATCTATATTGCCAAGATGGCCGTCTTCAGGCACACCGAAGCTCTCTTCGTGTCTTTCCATCCCACAAATTAGGGGCTAAAAGCTTCTCCATATATGGTTGGGCCCTGGATCCAATCTGCCATTTCAAGAGCTTACCTGGCACATCACCTCACTCCTCCATCCAACATCATGGCACATTCCATGCGCAGTGCGGCTACATCGGCGGAGTGAACAAGCCAGGCCTCAGTGGAGGAGATCTGCAAGGCGGCCACCTGGACTACTCCTACCCCCTTTATCCGCCATTATAAGGTGGATAGATACGCTTCACCGGATGCGGCATTCGGACGGCGGGTCCTTCAACAAGTTCTTTCTTCTTCAAGTTCCTAGTCCAGTCTCATTCCCACCCGGAGTCAGGCCTAGCTTTGGTACGTCCCATGCATGGCCGCTGTCTCCACCAACTTTGGAGAATGGGGCATTGGTTCTTACCTAATACGTCCCTTCTCTGGGCAGGGGGAGACAGCGGCCATCCCCACCCTTTCAGGCTCTGGCCTAGTTCCCAGAGGGACATCCGGGAGAAATAGTAGAGCATCAAGAGATCGAGAGCAATCAAATAGTGTAGAGCAGTCTTCTTATCTCTGTCAAGAAAGCAGGAGGACACTCCTCAGAGGCGATGACATCGCTTTGGTAGACTCAATTCTATTGGTTACTGACTGAGTTAACCCATGCATGACCACTGTCTCCACCTGCCCAGAGAAGGGGCATATCAGATAAGAACCAACACCCCAGTTTGAGCTTTCTGTGCAGGATCTTAGCTGTTCCTAATCCTGCACTCTTCTGTGCTTCCTTCCTGGGATCTGTTGGAGCCTTTCTTGACTTTCCACGTTCTCTCTACTTCCTCCTTCAAGCCCTGCTACGTCTCCAACTTCTCATCCTCCTCACTTGGTGGCACTTCCTTTATCTGTTCCTTGCCTGCTACCATGATGACTTCTCTGCATAGTGTGGGTCCTTTAAAATATGTTGCATGGCTATTTTTGAAGTGGAAAGTTAATTTGTTATTCCTTTAATTCCCACCTCTGAGCAGAAAAATACATTTTAGAATCTGGGGTTATGATTACCATTTCTGTTTTCTAAGTAATAGAATCTTGTTGATTTGGGGTTTTTTTAAATTTATTTTTTATTTTTGTTTAAGTTGAGAGATTTGTTTTATATATATATTATATATATATATTTTATATATATATATTTATATATATATATATTTATATATATATATATATTATATATATATATATGTTATATTTATGCTGATAAATAAATAAAGGGAGACTAGTATAGATCTATTTCAAGCTATTTAGCTCTCATCAGCTAGCCATACCCAAGTTTGTATATACCCAATTTATATATATAAATTTATTTTATTTTATTTTATCAATTTCATATATACATTCACAATTATATGATCTCATAACTGTTATTAATAATATGTATTTATAACAATTTTTCCCTACTGTTGACAATATACTTGAAGATTGCTTTTTTAACATCCCATAGATCCATCTTATCTTACAACGGTCCTACTTCTTCTTCCCTCCCTCCCTCTTTCCTTCCCTCATTTCTTCTCCTACTCCCCTTCCTTCCCTCCCTCCTTCCCCTTCCCTCCTTCCTTCCTTCCTTCCTTCCTTCCTTCCTTCCTTCCTTCCTTCCCTCCTTTCTTTTCTCCTTCTCTCCTTCCTTCCTTCCTTCCTTCCTTCCTTCCTTCCTTCCTTCCTTCCTTCCTTCCTTCCTTCCTTCCTTCCTTCCTTCCTTCCTTCCCTCCTTTCTTTTCTCCTTCTAAGTTGAGAGATTTGGTATGTGTGTGGATATAACATATTATGTCTCTCTGTGTGTGAGACTACACACTCAAACTATTCCAGGTGAACCACAGTATGTCTACCTTCCTATCATTTTTCTGTCATCTATTGTTACCCATTATCTGCCCGTCTACCAGAATGGTTTATAGTTTTCTAAAAGATATGTTGATCCTAGCATATAATTATAGAAGGAAACCAAAAAGAAAATTTTAGGAAAAGCCTTTTCTTTCAGCAGTAAATAATTGTTTTAATCTCACCTTTGCTGGCATTATTCAGCGCTGGTGGTATGCACATTTATCACCATTTAATGGGAATCATAGCATCAACCTTCTTTCTCTATTTTTCCTAACTTAACAGCAACATGGAAGTGTCTATTGGAAAGAAGGAGGAAGCTCTGTTTTGCAAAATTTATCACCTGTTCTTCCTTTACATCAATCACTGAAGGTAACTGTCTCCAGAGGTTTTTCGGGGAAGCTAGAAGTTGTTCTTTTTCAATGACCTTAACACTGATTGATCTTAGAAAACCATAGAAGATGCTTTATAGTTTTCCTGCCTAGGAACAAATGCAGCTGATACTACATCACAAGGTGATGGATTTTCCTTTACATAGACCATGTGATACATCCCACATTTATTTAGTCTTTAAGGAAGAAAAGAGCAAGAGAGATTGATTGTGTCTTGCTTTCATAAAATAAAATGGTGACATACTGATTTCATTTTTCTACCAAGTTCTGGATTGAGTTAAGGATGCCATTTCTGCAAAATTCCACATAGGTTCAGAGATTGTTTTCGACTTTCACTTAGTGGGGTTTTTTTTGTACTCTTCTATGGTAGGCTTAATTCAGGGGTTGGCAGTTACTCCTCGACTTACGACCTGTTTCTTAGCAACCGTTCAGAGTTAAGAAGGACCTCCCCAGAGTTATTTACAACCCAGTTTTGAAATTCTAATGTCCATCCACACTCCCTCCTACCCACCTCCCCCACACACATGCAGTCACGAGACTGTATTCTGGACATTTGGCAACTGACTCACATTTATGGCCGTTTGCAGCATTGCGTGGTCACACGACTGTGATTTTCGGCATTATTATTTCTCCAGAAATCAGCATTTACTTTGTGGCAAAAAAACTCCAAAAAACAAAACAAAAACGCATTGGCTGAAATGGGTTCATTTATTGGCCCCGGTATTAATTACACACGTCTGCTTAATGATGACTGCAAAAAAGTTCATCAATTAGTTGTGATCACATGAGGAGCTGCTTCGCAAACTTTGTGTCTTTGGGTCAGTAACTTCCTCTTAGTCAATGGCCAAGATCACGGGTCGGCAGCCTTAAACACAAAGGTCCTAGCTGGAAGCCCCCCATTCAATTCTGGAGCCAGCCGGAAGTCCGGTTTCCCCACCATAGAGTCTCCTCCTAGTCTGGCGTCCTTTTTCCTCTGCCGACCGGAAGTCCTGTTCTCTCACACACACCGCCCCCCACCCCTAATTCCCCCATAGAGTTTCCTCCTAGCATGGCGTCCGTTTTCCTCTACCTGTCCTAACTGAAAGCCCTATCGATTGTGGAGCCGACTGGTGACAGGGAGCTGCAGCAGAGGGATCAAGAAACCACATGTGGCTCCAGAGCTGTGGGTTGCCGACCCCTGGCCTAATTAGTTGATCTAACTTGTCCTTTTAATGTGAATAATAGGTTTTTGCAGACTTACTTTTCAGACACATAGATTTTTTTTAAAAAAAGAGGGTAAAGCTGAGATTAAGAGACTGAGTCAAATTTACTCAGCAAATTTTTGTTTGTTTGTTTGTTTGTCATAACAGTTTTGAATAATATTAAGCGGCTTATACCATATTTTCCGGAGTATAAGACGCACCAAGGTTTTGAAAAGGCAAATTAAAAAAAAGTTTTTGCACTCTGCAGACTTCCCAAAAATGGCCTGTTTTTGTCAAAAAAAGGGGGCATGCATAGTCTTTAGGAGGCTTGTAGAGTGCTCCTGGGGGCTGGACGTGGGGGGAAGTAAGCAAAAATGCCCCCCTTTTCAGTCACTTTACCTTCCTCAGCCCCCAGCAGCACTCTGAAAGCCTCCTAAAGGCTATGTACAACCATTTTTATGAAGGGGGCGGGGTTTCAGGAGGCCAAAAATGCTGTATTCAGTGTATAAGATGCACCCAGATTTTCACCCTCTTTTTCGTGGGAAAAAGGTGCATCTTATACTCCAAAAATACGATAATAATATAAGAGCATAGATACAAAAGCATTAAAAATGTTAACATTAAATTTAACAAATAAAAAAATTTAAAATAATATGGTCAAACCAAAAGAAATAATAGAAGGTCAAAATAATCCCAGAATGTTTGAAGTGAAATGATTCTCGTATGCTATTTTTAATATTTTCAAGGAATATTTGAGAAAGATCGTTGACAGTTACGGATTTTGCTTGCAATGATTTAGAGCCCTTAGTCACTGCATCTCTTCAAAATGTTCCTCCTGCTGTGTTTATGATTTTGTTGGCTTTTAAAATTTATTTTAAACCAATTCTTCTGGAGCATGCTTTTAAATTGGAATTGCTTTGACATTTTTAAAAAAAGAAAAATATTTCAATATTTCAAAAACAGGATCGGACCCAATTGTGTTTGTAAGTTGAGCACTACCTATATTGAAAATGCACTCTACCTGGGTCGCTTAATACAATTAGAGACACCATCAGAAACATACTGTGGCTTCTTACACAGCTTAAATGTAGCTTGCAGTAAGTTTTACTGTGACTTGAATGTCCCAAAGTAATGGCTAATGTGGTAAAACAATGACTTGTTTTTCCTTGCTAAAATATTTTCTCTGCATCTTTGTAACAGTCTTACTTTCCAGTGTGGAAGTAAGACGTGTTATTGTCCTAAACCATTAATTGTGAATGCAATCTCTGGGCATGCATGCCATCGCCAGCTGCTCTTCTGGTTTTCGCCCCCCCCCCAACAGCCAAAAAACAGGCATGTATGTGCTGGCAGGCTGGTCTTTGGGTTTCCGATGCTCCGGCATGCACGAAGACCGGCTGGCTGGAGCGCATGATTGTGCTGGAAACCCAAGGACCAGCTGGCCCCCGCGCGCATATCTGGTTTTTGGCTGTTTATGGCCGTTTTGGGGGGCGAAACCAGAAAAATCAGCTGGCATGTGCACCGGCCAGCTAGTGTTTGGGTTTGTGGTGCTCTGTGGCATGCGCTCATACGTGCACATTCTGGTTTGGGCACTTGGTGCCGAAAAGGTTCACCATCCCTGTCTAAACCAACTTTTGACCCTGGCTTTACATGTAGTCCTTGACATACAGCCTTTGTTTTTAGTGTTTAGTTTACTTTATTGATTAGCCCTTGAGCCATATCAAAGTGCAGCNCCTTGCACATATGTGCTAGTCGGGGGCGGTGGTCATCTCCGTTTCAAAGCTAAAGAGCCAGCGCTGTCCGCAGACGTCTCCATGTCATGTCTCCCATGTTCATTGAGCATGACTCAATGTTGAAGGCCCACGGAACGCTGTTACCTTCCCACCAAACGTGATCCCTATTTTCCTACTTGCATTTTTACATTCTTTTGAACTGATAGGTTGGCAGAAGCTGGGACAAGTAATGGGAACTCACTCCGTTACGCGGCGCTAGGGATTTGAACTGCCAACCTTTCTGATCGACAGGCTCAGTGTCTTAGCCACTGCGCCCCAGCTAAGGGTAGCTAGGTACATTAAACGTGCCTACCTGGTGTTTGCTGTAATCCTGCTCATATAAGTACATCTATGTTTCTGGGCCTACTTCAGCAATAAATCAATAGGGTTTGCTGGGAGATAGTGTATCCTTTCTATCTATTTATTGATTTCCTTTGTTCATCCTCTTATTGAATCCACTGTTCATCCAGTCACTGAACCTGATTTGTAGTTGTTGATGAACCTTGAGCTGGGAAACGATGCTTTTCTGTTATTTCGTTGTTACACCCACTGGCTGCGAAGAACTGACGGATGACCTCTAGCGTGAAACTTTGGGGCATAGCTCCATTAGAATGGTAGTTAATTAATGTTTAACTGAGAAGAATGGATCTTTCCCCCCTTTCTGTTCTTGTGAATGTGTGTATGAGTCTCTCTCTCTCTCTCACACACACATGCAGGCTCAGAAGAACCAGAGTTCACAGTAGGTTAAAATAAAATGCTTTACACTGGAAATACATTCTCCCTGATTAAACTGTTGGGCAACGTGTGCTGAAAATTAAACAAGGGGTGATTCCAGTATAGGCTGTGCTTAAGAAGGTTTTCCTTTGCTATTAGTATTCATTTAATTATATTCTTGTCAGGTCTCCAAGGACAAAGAAGCACAGGCAGTCCTCAACCTAATGACCACAATGGAGCCCAAAATTTCTGTTGCTAAGCGAGACAGTTTCTAAGTGGGCCATTTTATGACCTTTCTTGCCACAGTTGTTAAGTGAATCATTGCAGTTGTTAAAGAGTTAGCAATATGGTTGCTAAATGAACGAGGTTTCCCCATGGACTTTGCGAGACTTTGTGAGAAGGTTGCAGAAGGGGATTACTTTATTTATTTATTTATGTAGTCAAACGTGCAAGGTAACAGGTATAAGTATAAACATGGACATGAATGAAGGAGATGAGTACAAATAAATGGGGACAGTATGACAGGGACGGTAGGCACGCTGGTGTGCCAATGCACGCCCCCTTTACGGACCTCTTAGGAATGGGGTGAGATCCACGGTAGACAGTTTGATGTTGAAGCTTTGAGACTTTGAGGATGTAACAACGGAGTCAGGTAGAGCATTCCAGGCGTTGACCACTCTGTTGCTGAAGTCGTATTTTCTGCAATCGAGTTTGGAGCAGTTAACCTTGAGATTGTATCGATTGTTTATCCGTGTATTATTGAGGTTGAAGCTGAAAGAGTTGTTGACAGGTAAGACGTTGTAGCAGACAATTTTGTATACTGTGCTTAGGATCAGACCTTAGGCGGCGCAATTCCAGGTTGACCAAGCCCAAAATTTCGAGCCTGGTGGCCTAAGGGATTCTATTGTGATTCCAGGATACTGGAACTGTCTTAAATAAGAAGCAGTTGCCAAGTGTCCAAATTTTGATCACGTGACTTTGAGGATGGTGCAGTGTTTGAAAATTGGTTGTCACTTTTTTCCAGTGCCATTGTAACTTTGAATGGTCACTAAACAATGGTTGTAAGTCAGGGACCACCTCTACATTCTGATCAGTTCCCTTTATTCATTCTTGCCTATAGCTTCCCCATCGGCTTTGCTTGTCAGGAGGTCGCAGAAGGGGACCACGTGACCACAGGGCACTGCAACGGTCATAAGAGACCGCCTACTGCCAATCACCTCCACTCGACCTATTAGATCCCATAGATTAGGCCTCCTCCGAGTNCCTGGAGTGTGGAGGAAATGGGGATTTTGCTGTATCCTTCCCCAGGAGTGCGGAGGGAATGGAAATTTTGCAGTATCCTTCCCCTAGAGTGCGGAGGGAATGGGGATTTTGCAATATCCTTCCCTCGGAGTGCGGAGAGAAGGGATTTTGCAGTATCCTTCCCCCGGAGTGCAGAGGGAATGGGGATTTTACAGTATCCTTCCCCCGGAGTGGGCGGGAATGGGGATTTTGCAGTATCCATTCCCTGGAGTGGGAGGGAGTTGGGATTTTGCAGTATCCTTCCCTCGGAGTGCAGAGGGAATGGGGATTTTACAGTATCCTTCCCCTGGAGTGGGCGGGAATGGGGATTTTGCTGTATCCTTCCCCTGGAGTGGGGTGGGAATGTGGATTTTGCAGTATCCTTCCCCTGGAGTGGGCGGGAATGGGGATTTTGCTGTATCCTTCCCCTGGAATATGGAGGGAATGGGGATTTTGCAGTATCCTTCCCCTGGAGTGGGCGGGAATGGGGATTTTGCAGTCTCCATCCCCTGGAGTGGGAGGGAATGGGGATTTTGCAATATCCTTCCCCTGGAATGTGGAGGGAATGGGGATTTTGCAGTATCCTTCCCCCGGAGTGGGCGGGAATGGGGATTTTGCAGTATCCTTCCCCTGGAGTGGGCAGGAATGGGGATTTTGCAGTATCCTTCACCTGCCCCGCCCACGAAGCCTCACCCCACCCACTGAACCAGTAGTAAATTTTTTTGAATCCAAGCACCCAAATTCGAAGCTCAAATGGCCAAGCCCTCCCCACTCCATGGTCACGTGATTGAATTTCGAGTATTTTTGCAACATGGTTTCTTTTGCAGCCCTTTCAGTGTCTTCAGTGTCTTCAGTTAGAACTGAAGAAGCTTCTTGGATGAAAAGCGAAAGGAAAAACTCTCTCAAGAAAATCCAGTTGACTTTGGGACATTATCTTCAACATTCTGCAACCATGGGATTGCATTTTTCAATGGTCTGGACAAAAACTGGAACTTCTGCTTTTTTTTGGCAAAACCCGTATCCATAGCGAGCTTCTCTTGACGACCACGGCATTTGCTTAACAACTGTGGGTTTGCTTAATAACTACTGCAAAAATGGTTGTAATATTGGATCAGTCACATGACCAACCAGTTTACAACTATCATTAGTTACGAGTTAGTGAAGAGGCTCCATTACAGTCGTAAGTGGAGGACAACTTCTAGACTACCATGCTCTGGGCTTTAAGGTAATATGCCATTCAAGAACTGAGAAGAGCTGAACCCCCTTAATGTTTGAATATCTGCTAAGGGTAAGGATAAAGGTAAATGCCCTCGTGACCTCAAGACTGGACTACTGCAATGCGCTCTACATGGGGCAGCCNGAAGGATCCTGCAAAATACCCATTCTCTCCCCACTCCTGGGAGAAGGATCCTGCAAAATCCCCATTACCTCCCCACTCCTGGGAGAAGGATCCTCTAAAATCCCCATTTCCTCCCCACTCCAGGGCAAGGATACTGCAAAATCTTCATTCCCTCCCCACTCCTGGGGGAAGGATATTGCAAAATTTATTTTTGCCGGTTCTCTGAACTACTCAAAATTTCTGCTACTGTTTTTCCAGAACCTTTCAGAACTGCTGAATTTCACCCCTGCTTATGACCATTGCAGCATCCCCGTGGTCACATGATCCAAATTTGTGGCTTGGCAACTGGCATTGTATTTACAATGGTTGCAGTGTCCCAGGTTTATGAAATCACCATTTGTATCATTCCTAGCCAGCTTCCGATAAGCAAAGATAATGGGGGAAGCCAGATTCACTTAACAATTGCATGATTCACTTCATGACAGTGATTTGCTTAACAAGTGTGGTAAAACAAAAAGAAAAAGGTCGTAAACTGGGGCACAACTCACTTAACAACCATTTTGCTTAGCAACAGAAATTTTGGGCTCAATTGCAACGGTGACTTGAGTACCACCTGTATTGTCGTAAACCAACTGGCAACTCTTGACTTCGTTGGCTGTTCTGCTATCTCTTCCTTGTTTCCAACAGGATTGCTTTTCTGTCAGCAACAGTCCAGTCTGGATGGACTCCAGCACGGCTGCCCAGTGTAACTCTCTGGAAGAAAAGGTCGGAGGGGCTCAGAAATTAGCCGACATCACTGGCTCCCGAGCTTATGAGGTGAGAGCCGTGGGAGAAGACAGTAGGGAGGGTAACCAAGAAGGTCTAATGTGAACATTGTCTAAGACCGTGATGGCGAACCTATGGCACATCTGCCACAGGTGGCACACGGTGGCCATTTCTGAGAGCCCGTGAGGCGTTGCCCTGTCGGCTCCAGCGCTGATTTTCAGCCTTGATTTTGGGGCATTTTTCTCCCTCCGGAGACTCCCCTGAAGCCTCCAGACGGCAAAAAACCACCCAATGGACAACCGGAAGTTAGTTCCTGAACTTCTGGCTTGCGCATTGGGCTGTTTTTCACCCCCTGGAGGATTCAGGGAAGCCTCCTGAAGCCTCCAGAGGTAGAAAAACAGCCCAACAGGTAACCCGGAAGTCCGTCCCCAAACTCCCAGTTTGCCTGTTGGGCCGTTTTTCTCCCTCCGGAGGCTTCAGGAGGCTTCCCTGAAGCCAGCAGAGGGCAAAAAGTGGCCCAAAGAGCCTCCCGGAAGTCCAGAGATTTCGGTGAGGCCTGCGTGAATGCGCGTAGGGTGTGTGTGTGCACGCATGCATGGGAGGAGGACATTGCATTATGGGTGTGGGCACACAATCATGCGCTCACTCCCCATGCTTTTGGCACGCCTCGACGAAAAGATTAGCCATCACTGGTCTAAGACTTCCTTTCCAGGGTTGTTCCCACAAAGCAAGGGTGCCCAATACTGGGCCATAGCCTATTTGCAACTGGGCCATGTGAGTGGTGGGCCAGCGCACACACTGTGTGATGACCCGAGGCGTGGCGTGAAAGTAACACAACCAGACTATAGATCTAACTCCGCTCCAACTGTGCCCCCCAAACGTTCCCAGATACAAGTTCTGGAGCAAAGCTTTTACATGCACCTTCAGAAGCCTCTGGCTGCGAGTAGTCCAGTGATCAAGGTTAGCCACAGAGCAACCAGGGCCAGCAGTCCGATAAGACAAGTTAGCCAAACAGTAATCAGAGCAAGAAGTTCAGCAAAGCAGGCAAACTGGCAATCCCAAGGGTTCAGATGAAACGGTAGGGACGGTTTGAATCAGTTCGCCGAAATGGTAAAAGCCACCCCTGGTTGGCCCCGCCCACATCTGCCCAGTCGGCCCTCACCCCTTCTGGCCGCTTGCCCTGCCCACTGTTATTGTATAGGTTATAATAACAGAATATTGCAAGTCTGAAAGTATCTCTCCCCTCCTACTTTTATGCTCCTGCAAACTATGGAGGATCCCTTCTGAGACCCCCATCTCCACCCCACCCCCACCCCCCGGGACTCAAATGTCATTTAATGGACATTGTCTAGGCCAGGGGTCAGCAACCATAAACACTCAAAGAGCCACAAAGGTCCCAACCGGAAGCCCCCTGTTCAATTCTGGAGCCGACCGGAAGTCCGGTTCCCCCACCATAGAGTCTTCTCCTAGCATGGCATCCTTTTTCCACTGCCTTCCCTAACCAAAAGCCCTATCAATTTTGGAGCTGACCGGAAAGCCCGCCCCTTACATGAGAGTCTTTTCCTGGCGCACCGTGCTTCCCCGCCCCAACCAGAAACTCCTCCCAAAATTGTGGCACTGACTGGCGACGGAGCCGCAGCAGAAGGATGAAAGAGCCATATGCGGCTCCATATGCGGCTCTAGGCAGCAACTCTTCCCCCCATCTCCCAAAATAATTTGCACCTGCTATTCCAGGTATGAACACATTCTTGTTGCACATATGAACAAACTATTCCTGAACATTTTTGAAATCTTGCCTAAACGTCCAGAAAGATTACTTGATTTATTGTTTCTGAAATACATATTATAGGAAAATCTGTTTTTCAGATACCTTTTTAAACATTTACCTGTCAAAGCATTATCATCTGTTTTATGCCTGTTGCATCTGAATAGCAGCTGCTGTTATGCCTTTAATAAATTAAAATATCCAGGGGGTGATGCCCTGAACTCATTATGCTGAGTTAATTATTATTGACTCCATTTACAATTTGTGTTCCTAAATATTGGTAGCCTGTCCTTTCTCAGCGTTTTACAGGAAACCAGATAGCGAAGATTTACAGCCGGGATCCTGAAGTCTACTCACAAACTGAGGTTTGCTAATCTTCTTCTCGTTTATTGGGAATCATAACTAATTTAGGTTTTATTACGGTTTTGCAAGGGGAACTTATCACAATGCTTGTACAAATTACATTAGCATAAATATGGCAACAAAAGGCCCCTCGTTAAACAGAAAAGAGATCTATCCAAGAAGGTTTAGTAAAAGTGGCTGCTGATACAGCATCCCATTAATCTGGATGCTTAATATTAGCTATTTTGTTAACAGAGGGCGTGCTCTCACACCAGTAATGCAATTCTAGATCTAATTCCTTCTCCTGTAGAAAATGGGGGAAGATTAGAGATGGGGATTATAAAATGATGGATTTATTCCTGCCCCCTCTTTTTTTTTTTTTTTTTTAAAGTTTTGTTGTCTCTTGCAATGCAATTTCAAAATGCATTGCAAAGAAGAAAGAAAATTCCTTCCATTCTGCATTGGCCTTTGATCAAGGGTGACTTTCAAAATGCATGAGGTCTCAGGCATGGTGTTCGCGGAGGGTAAGGGAGAGGGGCAAAGGACAAAAATGATACAAATGCCACTCCTTTTGCTGGTATCTTAAGAGCTGGAGCCTGTATTATTTTATTAATTAATTAAATGGGCAGGTGTGAGGGAATGTAGTAGGTGTCAGCATCCAAAAGTAAATCAGAGTCCGAGGCAAAGGATTCCTCAAAATTCCAATTGATGAAGAGAGCCAGGTTGGCACATCTGGGAAAACCCGAATCTGAAAGCTTCCAGGTTTTCTCCACCCAGTTGAAAGTTCAAGATCTTGCCCCTACACCCACAAGTCCATCACATGGCCCAATCTTCCACTGCCACGTTGGCAGCTTCCACCCATCCAGTTAATGACTGCCTTGCTTAGCAACAGAAATTTGGGGTCCTATTGTGGTCGAGAGCTACATGTAGCTCGATCACTCCAGAAATTCCTCCAGCCCTCTTCTTGGAAACCATCCAAGGCAACGCCAACAGGTTACAAACAAGAAGTTAGGGTAAAAATTGGTCCATTGCTGGGAGAAAGTGGCAAGATGGTGACAAGCAGCAGGGAGAAAGCAGAACTATTTAACTCATTTTCTGCATCTGGCTTTACACAAAGGGATAAAACAGTCCAACCTATCAAAAAC